TTTCAGATCTTGGAAAATGATTATTAATTCTCAATATTTATTTATGACCACTTGTGTTAATTAAACTAATTAAATCAGGATAAAAATATCCAAATATCCTCCATGTGTAATTTTAAAATTATAATTTGTAAAATACAAATTCTATTTTTAATAAGTAAAATATAATTTAATTATTTTCTTTGCAATTGAATTAAATTATCAATTTACCTAATTTTTCTATTATACTTACAAGCAAATATTAATTAAAATGACAAAATAAATATTAATTCTTTATTTTCAATATTTGAACATTATTATTATTATTATTTCTGAAAAGTAATTATAAAAAATGAGTAATTGAGAAATTAAAAAAAAAATCATCTAAATTAATTTTTTATACAAATATAATAATATGTGTCGGGAGATTAATTTTTTAAAATTATTATTAGCATTAATGGTGTAAGATGCGATTAAATCACTACGATCTATATGATTGAACCCTAAATTTTCTTCGATATTAGAGGTTCGAATTCTCGTAACCGTTATTTATTGTAGAAAAAAATGTAAAATTTATTTAATTTTAGTTCAATAACAGTAAAAAACGAGAATATTTCTTTAATTCAACCATGGTTAAAAAATAATTACTATTTTAATGTATAGAATGAAAATTTTAAATTATTGGATCAGCTATAATTACGCAGCGTTGCATGCACTTGGGTCCTCCATCCAACGGTCGGAAATTTAGTTTAAAAATATAATTTTTTTTTCAATCATTTATGAGCTTGGATTTGACTTCTATTTTTTATATTATCATTATTTCATTAATCAATTTTCAAAATTAGATTTTTACAATCTTTCTCTCTCCTTTGTCGGTAACATTTTTTTTTCTCTTTTTTTAATAATTTTTAATCTAATTTAATTATGTTTTTTATTCCACGTTGGCACAAATTTATTATTTATAATATCATTTAGTTATTAAGAATTTCCCAATGTTGGGTTGGGTTAAGAAAATCTTTTAGAACAATTCGAGATTTTCGAATTAGTTAAATGGGTGACCAAGTAACTCGAATAGAGTTCACAATTCAACTCACTCCTTTATTATCTGATTGTTTTTTTTTAATTATTTAAAAAATTTATACTCATTAACGGTACATATTATATTAATAACTAAAGTTTCATAAAATTCAAATATTATGGCAAACATTAAATATTTTTAATTTTCATAATAAACTTAAAATTAAGGTAAGTTTGGGTTGGTGTGTGTTGAAAAAAAATTTAACCCACAAACCGACCCAAACTGTGAAAAGAAAAATTTAGCTTAACACAATTTTTTTGGTTTGAGTTGGATAATTTAGATTGATCGGGTTACTGGGACATGTGAACACTTCTAAAAAAATTTCACAAGAATAAAGAAAATATATTAAAAAAAAAAGAGAGAAAACTTAAAATGATTAATTGGAAAGTTATTTTAAGAATTAATTTTCTATTTTATTTAACATATTATCAAGGTTCACGAGCAAAAGAAAAAAAAAAACAGACAAATACGTCTTTGTCTAAGATATATATATATTCTATGAGAACGATTTTTAAACACAAGCTTAGTTTTGTCTCTTTCTATACAGTGAAAATGACATATTCGCGTGTATGTATATAGAAGAATAAATATACGAACTCTTCACTTTCAATATATATATATACATATATATAGATATGAGTGAGATTCCATCTCGGTTAAACAGAGTGATACATAATGGGCTAAAACAAATAATATCTACTAGCGGTAGCCTTAAATTGTTACAATGGTAAGTATCAGAGTCGAACACCAAAAGGGTGGATTGTGAGATCCCATATTGGTTGGAGAGGAGAACCAAATATTCTTTATAAAAGTATGAAAATCTCTCGTAGGAAAAGCGTTAAGCTGACGACGATACGTAACGGATTAAAATGGATAATATCTACTAGCGATAAAGTTGACATAAAAATGTGCATCGAAATTTAATTTATGGAAATTGTGATTTTTAGTTTTTGACTATGCATATTTTATATACCATTTATTATTTATAAAAAATGAACAGAATTTACAAAATGACAAGAAAATAAAAGTGGTTAACCAAGAAACTAACCAATCTCAAAATTTTGCTTTTTTTTTTCTTTTTAATTTATTTCCTAAAGTTTAAAAAATAAATTCAATAATTTTCTCCCCCTCTATTTTATTTTATTAAACGTTAAAATGAGTACGATATAGTTTTTGGTTTCATTATTTAGGCATTGAAAATATATGGGAATTCATTTTTCTTTCAACCCACAGCTGTCACAAAAAATGACACCTTTTAAATTATTTCTCTTTCTATTTTATTATTAATTTTAAATATATAATACATTTAAATCAAAATATATGAATGAACTGAAATCATATTTGAATGATACCGATCATGAAAATACGATGACTAAGAAAAACTTAAAAATATTGGAAATCACTGTTTGAGTAAAGACAAACTAAGCTGAAAGCACTCGTGTGGATCTGTGAGGATAGTTTGTGACCATGTCGTAGGGGATTAAGGGCAATGTCGGGACCATCCCAATTCTGAATAATGATTCGAATCTTGAGCATGATTCTGAATAATGATTCAATTACGAAGTTCTTATATTTGAGCCACTGAAAAAAATTATTTTTATTTGAACGTAGTCTCGGTTAATTCCTTGTCTTAAATTAATTTATAAATTTAGGTTTAAAATTGAGTCGTTAACGAGTAAGTGGTTCGGTACACGGAAGTGATGAGGTTAGATTTGTCAATATTCCAACTCATAGTACCAATTGGCCAGCCAACCAGCCAAGCCACCGCAGGCACAAAGCCGCCTCCGCTTTGCCGCTCTCGTTGACAGCGACAATTTAAATTTAATAAAAATAATAATAATAATAATTTAAAAGAAAAATAAAATTAAACTATTAACAAAGCATATGTATCTTGTCTTCTTTTCCCACTCCCTTATATATTCTCTCTCATCCAACAACTCCTTTTCTCTCTCTTCGTGAAATTACAATATTGCCCTTCGTACACTTGCTTTATTACACGCCATCCCTTGAGAGAAGAAGGTTCTGTTTGGATACAGCTTCTGTACAATAAATTTGCATGAAATTACCCTTTAGTCCTTAAAATTTTAATTTTTAAAAAAAAATATATATTTTTAAAATTTTGAATGGGTGGGTAAATTCTTAAATTTTCAATTTTATATCTAATAAATTTTTATTTTTTTTAATATTTTTTAATTTTACCAACCAATCAAATACAAAATTGAAAGATTAGAATTTAATATAGATTTTAATTTTGTATCAAATAAATTAATTTTTACTAGTTGAGATGTTTATTTCAAATGATGGGGTGGATATTTGTTTATTAAAAGAACCATTTTTTTCCTCGACAATTATTGGAGTGATTAATTGACTAATATTATTGAATATCTACTTTATTTAATATTATTTGTTTTTGTTGATATTATATATTATAAATAATAAATAAAAAAAAAGAATTGGATTTCTTTAAAAAAAAAAAAAAAAAAATTGCAATGTAAACCCCACCACACCATGTGCCTCAAATTGTTAGTCAATCTATATATATATATATATATATATATATATATATATATATATATATATATATATAAAAGGTACTTGCCCTCTTGATTAATCTCTATTATTTGTGAACCACTTCCGCCCCATCCAAAATTGAAAATAATTCAAATAGTTCAAATAATTAATTTTAAAATTCCGTTTAAATACCCGTTCGATCCTTGTTCTTTCGGGTTCGATTTTATTTTCTTAAAATATTTATTTTAATTCATATACTTTCAATTATTGTTCTTTTGTGTGTCTCTATTTGTAAAAAAAAAATTAATAGAAATTTATATAATAGAAATCCAATATTTCTTAAATTTCGATTAAAAAAAAACAATATAGACTAAAATGAAAAATACCATAAACAAAAATTTGAAAATAATTAATTATTTATAAAAAAAGGATTAATATAAATTCTAAAATTCGGAAATTAAAACACTAAAAATTGAATCAAGTACTAAATTTGGTTAAAGTTTAGGGAGTGGTCCATAAAAATTGTGGGGGCAAAAGTGTTGGTCTAAGTTATTCTTTTCATGAATTGGAATTTACTTCAAAGTTACCACATTATTTATTTTACTTTTTCTATTTTTTTTACCATTGCATTAAAATTAATATAACCCCTTTTATTATTTATTTATTAACTTATTATTAATTAATATTATTGATTTTAATTATTATTATTATTATTATTTGGAGGGTGTATACAAGCCTAGATAATGGCTGCCTGCAAAATTCCAAATTCTTTTTTCTTTTTTCTTTTTTCTTTTTTCCTTTTTATTTTTTGGGTTAAAATTAAAAAGAATTATATTCAACAAAAAAATAATGCATTTGCCGTGTATACATATATATATAAATAAAGAGATTTGATCCAACGTGTTGGATTATGCCACGTATTGTCCCACCGTGGAATCGCCGCCGCTCATCAATGCAACCCCTCTTTTTCCGCTTTTCCCTTTGGAAAAGTCTTGTTCAAATCTCTTAACTAATCGCCTCGTGATGCCTTTTATTTTCACCCACTTTTTTTACTCACTACACACACCCATTAATTAAAAAATAAAAATATAATTACCGAAATTAAAAGAATTTTTAATTTATTTATTGCCGGATATTAATTTATGAAAAATAAAATAAAAAGGAAAGAAATTATTGGGAATTTAAAAATAATTAATTGATGTAGTTGCTGGAGACTGGCTCCTCTCATGGCCCAACTAAGCAAGCTATTGGGGAAGAGAGATTAAAATTAAAATGATAATTAATTTAAATAAGATAAGGGAATTAAATTTTTAAAAAAATGAAGAACGCCAGCTTGCAGAAATTAAAAATTAATTTGGAGAATTAATCAAATGGGAAACTGCTTGGAATTGGGGGCTTAGATGTGATTATAAATATATTACAGTTTCATGCAATTCTAACACAATCACGACGGAAACCACGGGTTTCTCTCTCTCTCTCATCTTCACTTTTCTGAGAGATTTCGGCGGAGAGAGGGCAGTTTCTTTTACCCGCCGATGAAGACCCACCGTGGCGACCCCTCTTGGGGTCGTCTCTGGCCACAATTTGCCATGGCATTGGCTGTCCTTCTTCTTTCCGGCAATGTAGGATTGGTTGCCGGAAATGCTTACGTCTACGCTTCTCCCCCACCGCCTCCTTATGAGTACAAGTCGCCGCCGCCGCCTACGACTTATTCTCCCCCTCCTCCTGTCTATGACTCTCCTCCTCCTCCTTACTCGCCTGCTCCCGAGTATAAGTCTCCTCCACCGCCGTCTCCGGTGTATGAGTACAAGTCTCCACCACCACCGTCTCCATCTCCTCCACCGCCATACTATTACAAGTCTCCACCTCCACCATCTCCTTCTCCTCCACCACCATACTACTATAAGTCTCCTCCACCGCCATCGCCATCACCTCCTCCACCGTACTACTACAAATCTCCTCCACCACCATCTCCGTCACCTCCTCCACCATATTACTACAAATCCCCACCACCACCATCGCCGTCCCCTCCTCCACCATACTACTACAAATCCCCACCACCACCATCGCCTTCACCACCTCCACCATACTACTATAAATCACCGCCACCACCATCGCCGTCGCCTCCTCCACCATATTACTACAAATCCCCACCACCACCATCACCCTCACCTCCTCCCCCGTACTACTACAAGTCTCCTCCACCACCATCTCCATCCCCGCCGCCACCACCGTACTACTACAAGTCCCCACCACCACCATCACCCTCTCCTCCTCCACCATACTACTACAAGTCCCCACCACCACCATCTCCATCACCTCCTCCTCCATACTACTACAAGTCTCCCCCACCACCATCACCGTCTCCTCCTCCACCATACTACTACAAATCACCTCCTCCTCTGGTGTACTCTCCTCCTCCACCATACTACTACAAGTCACCTCCTCCACCTGTGTACTCTCCTCCCCCACCATACTACTACAAGTCACCTCCTCCACCGGTGTACTCTCCTCCCCCACCATACTACTACAAGTCACCTCCTCCTCCGGTGTACTCTCCTCCCCCACCATACTACTACAAGTCACCTCCACCTCCGGTGTACTCTCCTCCCCCACCATACTACTACAAGTCACCTCCTCCTCCGGTGTACTCTCCTCCCCCACCATACTACTACAAGTCACCTCCTCCTCCGGTGTACTCTCCTCCCCCACCATACTACTACAAGTCACCTCCTCCTCCGGTGTACTCTCCTCCCCCACCATACTACTACAAGTCTCCTCCTCCTCCGGTCTACTCTCCTCCACCACCATACTACTACAAATCCCCACCACCACCACCCGTCTATTACTACAAATCTCCACCACCACCAGTCTACTACTCGCCTCCACCAAAGCCCTACACTCCTCCATACTACCCACCCCACCACCACCGCCACCTAATTTTCAAGGTGGTCGGAAAAGTCTACTGCATCCGATGCTACGACTGGGCATACCCCGAAAAATCACACAACAAGAAGCACCTTAAAGGTAATTTTTTCAAATTAAAATTTCCCTCTTCATTTAAAATTCTGATTATTTTATTTAAAACCAATCTTTAATCTCTATTTTCCATCTTTTGTCTTTAATGTCAGCCTCATGACTAGGACTGTGATTCTTAATTTGGTTACCTAAAATACAAGTCAGAATGTCATAATCAAATTGCAATACCCAAAAAAAAAAAAAAACATTTTTCATATGATGTTTTTCCAAACATTAATTGGATAATGCATTTATTTATTTATTTTTTAATTATTTAAACGACACATTTACTAATTTGCCCTTCCACCATGATAGAATAAAGTAGTACCACCGTTGTCCATGTGGGTGCTATCATTGCCTCAATTATTATACATCAAGAACCCAAAATAGTAATTTTTAATAATATTTTTAAATTTTGGGTATCCAAACAAATTAACTTAATAGGTCAGGAGTTTCTAGACTAGAATAATTGTGCTCTGCAGTAAAAAGCTAAAACGATGTCGTTTTCTAATTTATAACTTTTTATTTTGTAGGAGCTATTGTTGAAGTGAGCTGCAAGGCAGGAAACAAAGAGGTAGTGGCCTTTGGAAAGACCAAGAGCAATGGCAAATATAGCATTGAAGTCAAAGGCTTTCACTATGCTAAATACGGCGGCAAGGCTTGCACGGCTAAGCTCTACGCACCGCCCAAGGGCTCGTCGTGCAACATCCCGACCAACCTTCATTGGGGCAAGGTCGGAGCTAAGTTGAGAGTCAAGTCCAAGACTAAGAACGAGGTTGTGTTGTACGCTAAGCCTTTTGCTTATGCTCCAAAGAAGCCTTACAAGGAGTGTTCTAAGCCTAAGCCTTACCACCCACCTCCTTACGTTTACAAGTCTCCACCTCCTCCTACCCCTGTTTACTACTACAAGTCCCCACCTCCCCCGTCCCCGACTTACTACTACAAGTCCCCACCTCCTCCATCACCTACCTACTACTACAAATCTCCTCCTCCACCTTCACCGGTGTACTATTACAAGTCACCACCACCTCCAGTATACTCTCCTCCTCCACCATACTACTACAAATCACCTCCACCTCCAGTATACTCACCTCCCCCACCATATTACTACAAGTCACCTCCACCTCCGGTGTACTCACCTCCTCCACCATACTACTACAAGTCTCCTCCACCACCAGTGTACTCTCCTCCACCACCATACTACTACAAGTCACCTCCACCACCGGTGTACTCACCTCCCCCGCCATACTACTACAAGTCTCCTCCACCACCAGTGTACTCTCCTCCACCACCATACTACTACAAGTCACCTCCTCCTCCAGTCTACTCTCCTCCCCCGCCGTACTACTACAAGTCACCTCCACCACCAGTGTACTCTCCTCCACCACCATACTACTACAAGTCACCTCCACCACCGGTGTACTCTCCTCCACCACCATACTACTACAAGTCACCTCCTCCTCCAGTGTACTCTCCTCCCCCACCGTACTACTACAAGTCACCTCCTCCTCCAGTCTACTCTCCTCCACCACCGTACTACTACAAGTCACCTCCTCCTCCAGTCTACTCTCCTCCTCCACCATACTACTACAAGTCACCTCCTCCACCGGTATACTCTCCTCCCCCACCATACTACTACAAGTCACCTCCTCCACCGGTATACTCTCCTCCCCCACCATACTACTACAAGTCTCCACCACCTCCAGTCTACTCTCCTCCCCCACCATACTACTACAAGTCTCCACCACCTCCGGTCTACTCTCCTCCCCCACCATACTACTACAAGTCTCCTCCACCTCCAGTCTACTCTCCTCCCCCACCATACTACTACAAGTCACCTCCACCTCCAGTATACTCTCCCCCCCCACCATACTACTACAAGTCTCCTCCACCTCCAGTCTACTCTCCTCCTCCACCATACTACTACAAGTCTCCACCACCACCTTCTCCATCTCCCCCACCACCATACTACTACAAGTCTCCTCCCCCACCATCACCGTCACCTCCTCCACCGTACTACTACAAGTCCCCACCACCACCATCCCCATCACCTCCTCCTCCGTATTACTACAAGTCCCCACCACCACCGTCCCCATCACCTCCCCCTCCATACTACTACAAGTCCCCACCACCACCGTCCCCATCACCTCCCCCTCCATACTACTACAAGTCCCCACCACCACCGTCCCCATCACCTCCCCCTCCATACTACTACAAGTCCCCACCACCACCGTCTCCATCACCTCCTCCACCATACTACTACCAATCTCCTCCCCCTCCTTCACCTTCTCCTCCTCCCCCATACTACTACAAATCTCCCCCACCACCCGAAAAAGCCCTTCCCCCGGTTTACATTTACGCATCTCCGCCCCCACCTACCCACTATTAAGTTCTAAAAAAGTTCGATACCAATCTTGTAAGTAAATCAAGCTTCCCTACTCATTAATTTTCATTCCCCCCATCAAATTTCTCTACCAAAATTTCTAATGAGTTCTTCACATATCCGCAGGTTTTATTTTCAAAAGTGGAATAAATGAAGGCTTCATTAGTGAAACAGTTAGTGGTGGTGAATTCAGCCCATTGAATAATAAGGGTCCTTTTGCAAAAACAGAGCATTATTCAAACATTTTGGACCAGATTGCATCTTCTTCTCTCGTTGCCATCTTCCATATTATCTTATTACTGTGTTCTTCTGGGAAAGTGGCCTCAAGGGTTGAGCTTGCATCAATGGCAGGGCTTGGATGTTGCAGAAGATGATTATTGTTTTGTGATTTGAGTAGTGAAGCCTTTTGTTATTTGTTTTAATTCATATCTATTTGTGAATAGATGAAGTATGCATTGGCTAAGATTTGTGATTTTGTTCGCTTTCAGTTATTTATTTGCATTAAAATAACTTCTCGCTTCTTTTAAGCCTCCAATTCCCATTCACGAATCTTCTTAAATCGCGCTAGATAACAATTTCAACGATCATATAGTAATGGCATTTATTTCATTTCAACGATCATATAGTAATGGCATTTATTTCAACCCAATACAAAATTTCAAATAATTTTCTCCTTCACACGAACTAATATGTCAGATGAGTTTCTACAGTTGAATGTATAAGAGAGAAATTTACGACCATGTTGAATTTTTTTTTTTTTTTGAGTGGAGTGGAGACATAGGTGGGAGACAGCTTTAATGTTTATTGTTGGAAACATCTGAGTTGTCTTGAAAAATGTTTGGTTGGTTTGTTGCTTGGAATTGGAGTGAGATGTGAAGCAAGTAAGGTGTGTGTGAGAGATTGAGTGGAATGTGGGATCATCTCCTTCTACTTTTTTTCAACACTCACTCTATTTTCTTTTGTTGACAGATTCAAATTATAATGTTTACTACTTAGCTATGTTCAGAAATGTTCAAGAGGCCGAACGAAGATGGGGAAGTCTTTCCCGTCCTCATCTCTGTCACCTATTTCATTTCATGTCTCAGCAAAACTTTCCATTTATTTTTGCGAGGAACGGAGAGTAATTTTTTTCCGTGTATTACTTTTAAATAAAAAATAAATATTTTAAAGTTTTTCAATATAATTTTTATTAATTTTTTAATAAATCAATATATTTAATAAGAAGTTGTGTAATTTTTAAAAGTTTAAATTTTGATATTTTAACTATTAAAAAAAATCTATAACATAATTTTTAAATTAAATAATTTATTTTTTATTAAATTTTTTTAATATATGTGTTGAAAATATATTTATATTAAGCTAGGCAGGGGCAGGAATATAATTTCATCCTCGGTCCCATTCATCTGACTGCAAAAAATGTTCCTCTCCCTTCCTATTTCTTATCTAAACGTCCTCGAGCGGATAAAATAGACGTTTTTAGTCGTACTTAATGATCGATGCACAAAAAAAAAATAATAATTAATATGTTGAAGCTTTAATGTATTTCCCCCCTTTTTTTTTCAATTATTCTTTTCTTTCGTGTCTAATCTTAATGAATGAGCATGGAGATGGAGTGGATTCAAAGTCATCTCTAGGAATAATTTCACGTTTTTTTTTTTTTTTTTGAAAATAAACAAAGAGTTTCTTTACTAGCAAACTTGTTTGATAAGATAATTTTTTTAAAAAATATTTTGAAAAAATTGTTAGATTTATGTTTTAGTCCACGTGGTACGAGTGTTTCTTAAGTTTAGTTTCGTTTGTGGATATATGAGTTGATTTGATAACCTCTAACTTCTTACGAGAAGAAATATGTTTAAATCGATTAAATTTATGAATATTTACTTTCTTCACACTAACAGAGGCATGATTCGTCTAATTAAGGCTAGAAGTGTATCGTCGGCAGAAGAGACGAGCCACTTAGTGCTCACAATAGACAAATCGATCGATCCAACTCAAGGTCCAACTACGAGCTTTTTAACAACAACTTAAATATACCCTATTTAAGCTTGAATTACTACAACGGGCTGACACCAAACTTACCCTCCAATTGATTCTCGTTAAGAGATTTAGATTGTACTCATTCTAATTACTAGACACGAAGAGCTTGATATTGTTGTTTATTGTCACTACCTTTACGTGTCAGGACCGAATAATTTGCTCATCTGTTGCCTTCCTTGGATGTGATACCCATTTCTCAGTCTCCCTCTCCATAATTGAACCCTAATTCTCCATGACTCGTCACTACCATAGTAGGCCACTATTCTACCATCGAAAGTTGAAAGGTCAGAAATTTGTATGAATGGTCGTTGAATCCACTGAGTTATCATGAATCATTAGAGCAATGGACAGAGCCCGCACCGAACTTTTATCTAATAAATGTATCATTTCCAAAAGTCGGACTTTATTGCATGTAATAGCTAAAAAAAAATCATTGAATAGCATCTCGATATAATTGAGTTGAATATTCAAAACAATTCTACTATTTTAGCCACCAACGTTCAACAACTAAAATTAAATGATATTAGGACTTAGAACTTACCATACTGTAAATGATTCGACCTAAAATTTTATATAAATATAAGCAAGGAAGAGATAAGAAGCAAAGAAGAAAAAGTCAAATAAAAATTTTCCATTGAAAAAAGATGAAATGCATTAAATAATAAAAGCACAAAAACGTACTAAGAGTAATAATGGACAAATGCATTTTGATAACAACACATGTTTGATGGAGTAGGTAACACTAACAGCTGGATCAACTTGCCTCGTAATGCTTCAATTATTCGCTTTCAAACCCGTTCAATCAAAGATAATTTCGTCAATCTAAATATAACTCGTCTAAATTTCGACTATATATATATATATATATATATATATATATATATATATATTGTAGAATTTAAACAAGACGGTATTTGTAACCGTCTCGGTAGGTTTTGTTGTTTTTTTTAGTGTATAGTATCTGTAATTATATTTAAATTGGTTTAATGATAATTGATTAGGATTTTAAGATTATACCATATTTAGGCCGGTAAGTTTTCTCCTTGTTTTTTTTTTCATTTAGGGTATACACGGGTTGGGTTGAGTTTGAGAAATCTTTTGGACCAACCAAAATTTCGGGTTAGTTGGGTTGGTGGCTTGAGCAACTCGAATATAGTTCACAACTCAACTCAGCGCTCTATTTTTTTTTTATTGGGTTTATTAATTATTTAAAAGCCTTACTTACACGTCACCAACCCATCACTAACATCTGACAGCATCAAATATTCTTAATTTTTATAATAATCTTAAAAGTAGGGTAAGGCTGTATTGGATAATATTTTGGTTGGTTGGGTTGACCCGATCAAAATAATGTCAACCCCAAACGGACCCGAATCGATTTTCTAAAAATTTAATTCAATATAAAAAAAAAAATTAACTTACTCAATCTTTATGGTTTGAATTGGATAGTCAGTCGAATTTTGGGGTTGATAATTAGGTTTAGAAAGGTATGAAATTGGAAATAATAGAAAGAGTTATTGAATTATAATTATTTTTTTTTGTGGTCGTTCACTTAATCTTACAATAATATATCTTAAAATACCTAAATATGAAAATTACTCAACTACCCTTGGTTCACATTGTGTTGATGAAATTTTTTGAATAACCATATCAATTATTATTAATCAAATCAATCTTTTTCAAAATAAAATAGCTATCAAAAGGATTTGAGAAATCAAAATTATCAAACTTAATTTTGAATATTAAAAAAAAAAAAAAGTCAATATTCCTTTTGACAAATTCAGCCAAAATAATAATAGGGCATTTTGGACATTTCCTATAACCTTTGAAGACTTTTTCCGTGCCCAATTTCTTTGTGGCAGGTGAGCCCTTTTTCTTACTGTCAATAAAGAAAACATTATATATTTTATTTATCCTTTTTCATTTTAAATTTAACGTTAACTCGACTGGTTATTAGTTAGCTGTAGATGGAAGATCGAACCATTAACTATAATTAATACCTAATCTATCAAGTTATACTTAGATTAACATGTTATTTTAGTTAAAAATATGTTAGGTGAAAAAAAAATTATAAAGACATAATTAAAATCAATTTCAAGTTACCGATTAAAAAGAAGTTATTTAATTTGGACAATTTGATTTTTGTTTTTTTTTTTTTTTGTTTTATTAGGTAAAAATTAAATAAACAATATATGAAATGGGTAAAAAATCGAACCTCCGACCGATTGATAGAGAATATATATCGTTAGGAATTAAACTATACGTTCAAGTCGATAAAAAAAAATTAATCGACAAATTTAGGGTTTGAAAATATAAACCTTAAACTATACACACTAATTAAAAGTTTTAATTGATACTTTTCATTTTTTAGAATATTTGTGTTTGTATTTTTATAAAAATAATTACAAAATTAGGATTTTAAATAAATTCATTACAAAAAAAATATAGCATTTCTTAATACTGATTAGCCAACTTGTGAGAAAAAATATTTTTAATATATTTTATCTTTGTTTAATGGATTAAAGAAATAATGAAATTATAGCTTTTGTGCATATTGGGCCTATGAAACTTGCTGGGCCTTCCTCAAAGACTTTTATGTTTGGACTTTTTAGAGTTTTAGTAGTACGACTATTCAAACCCGAAAAACCCGATCAACCCAATTTAACTAAGATTATGTTAGCAAAATTTAATTAAATATTTGCTTTTGACGTGTTTAGAACTAAACAAGTATATGATCGTTATTTTTTGTTTAACTGTTATTTCGACGAGAAATAAATATAACCAAACTCATTTTTCTTGAAGCTGTTAGGTTTTTACTATCCTTGTCATTCACCAAAATCATGTCTACATCCGTCAGGACTAAAAATGCTCCAAAAATACACTAACGAGGACGTGACTAGTTGTCAATTCTCCTTACGTATTCACTTTTAGCCTAAACATTTCTTTCTTTCAAATTGTTTTCAACTCATTTTCTCACTCACGTTTTATAAAACGTTTTATGACAAACCTCGATCATACGTCAAATTGTTCGCAAAATTCGATTTTCACATGATTGATTTATTCACTAAATTAGAACAAGTGTTGTACAATCGTACATCAAAAACGAAAAAAAAATGTTATTTCTACTTACTATTATCTTTAAGAAGGATCCTCCACTAAAGAAAAGGAAATATGACTACTTATCACTAACCCGACCATATTAATGCAGCTTGAATGACAAACAGACCATCTCTAATGTTTTACTATATCGATCATAAATAAAGTTACGAACACTTTATCGAACACAATCAAATTTAAAGATGTGAAGGAGATGATTTTGGAGAAAGAAAAAATGAGATGATCATGGACGTAACATGCAAAATTAAGAAATTTAATACATGATTACAATGAAATAAGTACGCTTAAATTTTGGAACCCATTTGGGTTTTGGTTATTACCTGCCTGCGCGCAGCTGGGCTACCTGCGCTATCGTTCTCGTAATCGCTCCCATTTCCGCCGAGTTCTCAAATTTCAAGAGAGGAAGATAGAGAAACCCCTCTCCTTCTTCCTCTTCGATTACCGGCGACATCATTCAATTCTTCCCGGCATCAAACGAACTCCAGAATCATGTTCTTCGTCTAATCGTGATCGTCAGATCGGGCTACTGGTTTCAACCCCGCTAATCGGAGTTCATTCAATCAGGTGCCCTCTTGTTTGATTCTCAATGGCTACAATTTTCTTTCGTTTGTTCTTTGGTTTATAGTTGTTGGGTTGTGAATCCGATCAAACTCGCCCTTGTTATGCCTGATTTTTGTGCTCCCATTTCTGGGTAGCTGCTAGAACAGTTGATTCTGCTACCTCTTTTGTGTTCTTAGTCTCCTAAGATTCCTTCCAAGTTTGATTCAATAGGCTATATGTGTTCGAAATTTGGGTTGAAATCATGGAATTTGTACGTTCCACGCAACAATGCAGAAAAATATCGATCACCCCCTTATGTTTTCCTTTGATGTTGTAGACTTTGCAATAGGATTTTCTCAAGAGGAGAATTTTTCATTGATCCTGTTGCTGTGTAAATCCTTTACATTGCTGATTATGACATTATTTGTTAATATCAGGGCATTGGCAAATGCAGGATGGAGTAACTTAGGTCCATAACATGTTAAAAATTGGATTTAATGGAACAATATCCTAATTTTTTCGAATCGTGAGGAACTGTTTGTTGTTTAAGAAGGTGGAGAGTCTTATCTAGTTAGACGGGCGGTAGACATCTAAATCGTGCAATATGAACTTCTAAATAAAATGTTATTCAAATTGTCACAAGATAAACTCAAGTTGCAATTCCTACCATACTAAAGAAGAATGAAGTTTCATTTATTTTTGGAGGGTTGCAAACTTTGGACGAATGATAAAATGGAGTTACAGTGTTATATTAATGTATTTTAAGACGTTTTATTTACTTCAAGGTTACATTTACATAGTGGCTAATTATGATAATAAAGTACGAAGGTTGCAACTCTTGAAATGCCCATGGAAAGTGGAGGGTTTTATTTTGAGGCTGTATAAGATCATGTATGTTGTCTTTGCAAAGTAGACTTGGAAAATGTAGCAAAAAGTGCATTTGAGCTTTCTATTAACCATGGCTAAATTTTTTTGCAATTCTATGTAGTTTTAGTTGTATGCCTAGAATCATTCAAGCTTGACTTGATCAATCTTGGAGTGATTTGAATCTAAAACAAGTGTTCTTGCTTTAAGATATTTGATCAACAAGGTAATCTGAATCTTACTTTGGGGTAATTCCTTATTGTTTTGAGGCTCCTAGTTATATCTAGATCTAAAGATCTTGTTCTTCAATAAGGTTGTTAGATCAAATTTTCAAGAGTTGCAATCATTTGGAATGAAATCAACCTAATTTGGGGATTTTAGCATTTGTGAATTAGGGGTTTGAATATCTAAAACGTTTACGAGGGTTCTTAAATTCAACTAGCTAGAATTACCATATCAGATGAGTTTTCTTCGAAAAAAGAAAAACAACCTCAACTTTCCCAATCATTTGAGTTTAGACGGTAAATGAAGTCCTAAAGTTAAAAATTTATGATCTTCCCTTCAACTTTCATCTCAGCATGGAACATAGCCACTTCCACCCGATACGTAGACCAACGTTCATCGTATTCTTATTGCTATATATCTTCTGAAGTTTGAACTTTTACATTTTGTATATTTAATATTGAGATCCTTTTGTACGTGTGTAATATCCTAGGGGTGCATCTGGTTGTTGCTGTAATTTGCTAGGATGAAGAAGGTCTTTGATCAAACTGTTAGAGACATGTAAGCTAAATTCTTAGTTGTCTCGTCACATCAAAATTCATTTTTATCCATTGATCTCGTAAACATAACGTTATGCGTTACGTTTTCGTAATAGGGTACCTCTTATTTTATTGCAGAAAGAGAGAGGTCAATAAGACCGTGCTCAAAATTCCGAAAATAGAGCAGAAGGTATGAAAAAAAGAGAAGTGTTTAAGTTCATTTGAAACTCATGGCCACAATGATAGCCCTTAGGTCTCTTTTCCAGGTTTTGGATGCCACTAGCAATGAGCCTTGGGGGCCTCATGGATCCCTTCTTGCAGATATAGCAGAGGCAACTAGAAATCAGTAAGCATAGGCTTGCTTTCGTGGATGGTTTTAGATTGAATATTCTACACCAGGGGAGAACTTATTCCAAATGTTGATGCAGTCATGAATATCAATTGATCATGGGAATAATCTGGAAGCGGATTAATGATACGGGCAAGAATTGGAGGCATGTCTACAAGGTTAGTAGTTTTTTCCCTTTTTCTTATTGTAACATCGAGCTAAGGTCCGAAATATGGATTCAAAAAGGCGTAGGCCTCAAACAATTTGGAGACGAAAAAATTACTCCGTAATTTGCTACAGAACAAAACAATTAGAATTTGGCTCGTTGAACTGGAATACGTATTATCCATGTAGGGGTCTTTCAACGGAGAAGATCTTAGTAGTTTTTCCCGTTTTCTTTCAACCTTTCCATTTTCGTTTTTTCGTTTTATTCCTACCCCGAACTTGTATCTTTCTCAGGGGTTGACTGTTTTGGAGTACTTGGTGGGTCATGGGTCAGAGCGAGTCATAGACGACATCAGAGAACATGCATATCAGATATCGGTACATTATTCGTACTCGATTCACTAGGACTGCTATTTCTATTCTAGCTCTATTATTTTCTTGAAAAAATCGACCATCTTTTGGATGACAGACCTTATCGGAATTTCACTACATCGATTCGAGTGCGAGGGATCAGGGTAACAATGTTAGAAAGAAATCTCTAAATCTTGTTGCCCTTGTAAATGATAAAGAAAGGATCGTTGAGGTCAGACAGAAAGCTGCTGCTAATAGGGACAAGTGAGTCTGCTCTCCATGTTTGGTTATTTTTTTCAATTCTTTCAGCTTTTACGGTATTTATGAATATCACGATATCACACAGGTTTCGCAGCCCGTCATCTATGAGCCGTATGTATAGATCAAGAACAGGAGGATATGATGAGCGCTATGAAGGACGATATGGAAGCTATGATGGAGACAAAAATGTTGATTCTTTTGGGAGGGAAAGGGACTATGGTTTCAGAGATGATCGTTCTGGCAGAAATGAGGATTCATATAGTCGTGGTTATGAAGGACGCTATAACAGAGATGGTTATAAGGATGATGATTATCGTGGAAGAAGTCGAAGCATTGATGGTCATCAGTATGGTTCAAGGAGCAGGAGCTTTGACAGAGATGGAGAACGTACATATGATGAAGATGGTCACGTTTCTTCTCGGTAGGCACCTAGATAGTAAATGTTGATGCTAGATAACTATTACATTAGTGAATTCCATTATAGTTTTTCCATTTCCTTGCTTCTGCTGTTGCTTGCAGCAACAATCGTGCCAGAGCACACGAGCCATCTCCGGTTGGAAGGTTAGTTTTCGATCCTTTAATTTTGTTGTTTATTTTATATTTCTCTGATGAGGAAGCAGTTTAGTGTTATTGTTTGGGGCATCTCTTTTATCCTAAAAGGAGCAATATGTTGCATTACAAAACTTGAATTTTTCATAGGAAGCTTGAACGCAAATTTTCGGAACAGAATCTTAGTTTCCCGCCTAGTTATGAAGAAGCTATGAATGAATCTGGAAGTTCTGTGCATAGTCAAAGGTGCCAATTTTGTACCAAGGATTTGATGTCACTTTTTCTTATCATCTTCTTCACCATTCATTCAATTGATATACTGTATCTGTAAACAGAGATGTAGAAGCTCCATCAACTACAGCTCCAAGAGCTTTTCCTCCACCAACGTCCAGTACTCCGAGCCAGCCAACTAGTCATGGAACCTCTACATCCCCACCTACCCAGGGATTTGATCGTCCTGATCAATTTGACCCCCGGGGTTCCGTTCGAGGTATGGGAAGAACTAGGTTTTCTATGTTGCACCTACTTTGTACTGATATATTGAGAAAGAACAAACCCTAAGCAATACAAACTCTCCCTTGTGACAAAAGACAGAATTTATGTTCCTTTTTATCAGTGCTGAAAGTCCATGTGTAAGCTTCTTAGCTGCCTGGGTAGGGAATGATGGTCAGGTCGTACCTCCCGTTCTATCTATTCCATTTTTTTTTTAATCGATTCTAATGAAACGTTAGGTACTTCCTGTCGTAGGATAGTTCCTTCGACATTTCCATGTCATTAGCAGTAAAATACCAAAAGGAGATGCGTGTTTATCTTGGGAATTTTTGGAATGAAAATTATGTTACAGTGTTTGGTTTGTATGTTTTTTCTCATGGTAGGACTGTGTATGGTTTTGGTTCCTCTAGTAGTGTGTGCTTTGTGTAAGTGGGCATAAGAAGACTTGCACTTCATATCTCTTTTCTCCTCTCTTTTTTTCTTTCCTATTTCAGCTGCTCCGACGGCCTCGAGCAGTTCGGAGACGAATTTATTCGACTCCTTGGCCTTAGTGCCTGTTGAGCCAGTAACATCAACTGCAGACTCCAAGAGTTGTGTTCGGAAAAGCTCTGCGGAGGGTTCCTATACTCAAAATCAGGCAATTTTCTCGCTTTCATATACCCATGACTTGATGCTTTCTCATCGATCTTATTCCCGGCATTGCCGAGAGCATGTTGTACCGTGGTTTGCTACTTCGTAAAATTGGATTACTTCTTATGCTCATGCAGACTTTTAAAGACCCATTTGGTGACTCGTCTTTTAAAGCCGTTCCTTCCTCTGGTGTCCAAGATCAAGCAGATTTTCCTCATGGGGAATCGGTTTCTGCAGCATCTTACTCTACACCGGACATCCCTGTTCAACCTCAACCGAACTCGCACCATCCTCGTGAAGAGTCGCTGCTACATCAAGATATTGGTGTACTGGCTGATCTCCTTCCTCCTCCTGAAAGTTTACCAACTGTTGTTTCACAGCCCACATTTACAATATCAAACCAACCAGCACAACCAAATTTTTCAGCTGTATCTGGCTTGCCTGCACAGCCAAATTCTAACTTGGGGAACTATCAGCAATATGGAAGTATTGCTCCTATGAATTTTCAAAATCAAACAGAACCAGGGAGAGAGTTTGGCAATGGGATGTTCATAACACAGGGAGGAACACCAGCTCATGTCAATTCATATATGGTTCCTCCTCATGCTGGACCTAATACACAGCCCAACAATTTTGGATCCTCTCAGGACGGTTCTGCAGTTCCCACGAGTTCTCACGTTGCACTTCAAGCTTCCAGTTCGGTAGCTCCAGTGGCTTCTTCATTTCCTGTTGTACAATCTAACCCAGAGGTTATGGGTAGTTTTAATCCTCAAGCAGGAAACTACACTGCCATGGCTTACCAGCAAATTCCTCCAGTTGGATCACTTTCAACTGCGTCTCAAGCTTCGAAGAATAAGTTTGAGACCAAGTCCACAGTATGGTCTGACACATTAAGCAGAGGACTTGTCAATTTAAACATATCTGGACGTGAGTTTTCCCTCTTGATTTCATTACATCACTTGCACACACCGATGAGCTTAACTTGATTGTGTTGATTTTTTCTTTTCGACGTACTGGGCTGTTTCATACGTTTAGAAAAACATAATAGATCTTGATTCCTCATTTTTTGAAGAACTAGTTCTCCTTGTGCAGCTAAAGCAAACCCATTGGTGGACATTGGTGTTGATTTTGAATCCCTCGGTAGGAGGGAAAAGAGGATGGAGAAGCCTAGTATAGCTCCAATGGTATCTACCATTAACATGGGTAAAGCTATGGGATCTGGTTCTGGGATAGGCCGAGCCAGTGCAGGTGTACTAAGGCCTCCTCCAAATGCGATGTCGGGTACAGGTATGGGCATGGGAATGAGAGGCTATGGAGGTATGAATCAACCCATGGGAGGCATGGGGATGAATATGGGTATGGGGCAACAAGGAATTCAAATGCAGCAACCTCGAGCGAACATGCCCGGTGTATACAACCCAGTATACAACCCAATGATGGGCGCTGGAGGTTATGCCCCGCAACAGCCACGGTACGGCGGTTACCGATGACATCAGACATCTTGTTAGAGTTGTGGAAGAGCCTCTGCTTGTTTATCAGGTTATAAGAGATTAGGTAGGACACAGCACTAAATATTCAAACGTCTGCATCCAACCCAAGATTTTATCATCTGAAGCTATACTTTTCCCCAGAATGAAGGCCTTCTGTCTTCATTGTTTTCTACCAAATCTCCTGTTGCTCATTCTTTGTGGGTTCAGTCCTGGTTTGAATTTTGTGTATCAACGAGTTCAAATCTCCTCCTTGTCAATTTCCTTCCACTTTCTTGTGATTGTAAATTTGATTGAACATAAATTAACTAATAAAATACGATGGTGTAAGTTCGCCTCATTCTTATTTCATATCTTGTAGGATACTGATGAAAGGATATTATATGTTTTGTAAATGTTTTCTTTTTTCTTTTTTTTGTTAAATCACGTTTTTAATCTCTAAAGTTTTTAGAAATAGGTTCTAAATTGTATTTTGCGTTACTCTTTTTTTCTTTTTATAAGTTATAAAATAAAAAGATTAGAGCTTCTAACTTAATAGTCAAAAATATAATGTTTTAATGAATTGAGTTATACTCTTGTAGGTATGATTTTTCAGGTTAGGGTGATATTTAATCTCAAAATCATAGCTCAATAACTCCGTCCAAACCTTGTTCTAAGTATTTGAAACTTTAGATATGAACATGGAATTTTCACTCTAAAAGGATGTTGTCATTTCTATCACCTTGCCTAAAGTGTGGATTTGTGGTGCACCCTAGAAGACAGTGACCTTGCAATAGATTATCCAAGTATATCATATTTCAATAAGAACGAGTTCAAGCTTTCTCAATGAAAACAAGTATATCATATATTTTGGTCGTAAGCTATTATATGCTAGCTAAAAGGGCATTTCAAAGGCTCACTACAATCATAATCATAAAAACTATGTACATGCGTGAATATGAAAGAGATTCATATGCTTTGCGCTTACTAGTCGCTTATTAACAAACAAAGACAGCTAAAGAAAATACAAATTAGAGCAAATATAAGGAGTGAAATACCTTCATCCCTAGATTTTCATGGCAGTTGCAAAAAACTGAATGAGATTACTCCAAGAAGACCTGAATCCTGTCACTCGTTGTATCAGTAAAATCCAGCAGCACTTTTCCTCCTACTTCCTCAGCTGCATCATCTAGCAGTTGTTTGATGTTTATGCCTCCTAACGCTGTGTTCCAAACATCGCATTTTTTTTATTACAACCCAAGGAGGTGTTGAAGTTAATAATCTAAGCTACTATAACCATTAAAAAAAATTAATTAAAGTACCTGGAACTATGCTGGTTAGGGTATCCAGGGATCCAGCCTGAAAAAAGGGGAAAACCAGAACTTATCAAAAGAAAATCTGGTATGACAATACAACTTTGGCAGAGAACTGAAATTGAAAAAATGCAACCAGATTTGAAGATTGAGGACATGTACGCATCGTTTCCGACATTAAAATACCAAAATGGTCTTATTATTTATATTTGACATTAAAATAAAATTGTATAATGAGAGGGTTTGTAAAACAAAATGAAAGACTGAGGTAGAGTTACAACTTCTAAGACATTAAGATAATTCAAACCTAACTACATTTCTTAAGAACATATAATTCTGCCAATTCTTAATGAACGAAACAAAAGTGGGGTTTAAAATGTTTAAAAACCTTCATATCATTATACAAACTCAACTATTAAAATTCTATCTGCCAAGTAGGGTTACCATACCAATCAGCAGCTTGAAATAACAACAATGACAGATGCAAGGGTTATGGAACACAAAGATCACAATTGGCTGCATCACTAATCTTGGGAAGAAAGTGTGTGAGCATCGAACCATTTGATTAAAATACTACGTGAACTCATTTTGATTCCAAAAACAATCAAAAGGACAAAAGTGTGATATTCGTGAACACTTACAGGAATCCTAGCATCAAGTCTCTCAAGTCCATCTGTTCCAGTTATTTTGACTCTCAATCTCCGGGGTGAGATGTCAGAAGGGGGATGTTTTGATCCATCTGCATCAAAGTTACAGTATAAATCAGATATAGTTACTTCGACAATTTTACCTTGACGACCTTGGCCTTTCTACTCTCAATCATTTCAACCGTATGTTATGCTGCTGCTCACTGGAAAAGAACCTTATTTTTGTATCAAATAGGGTAGAACTATTAAATTGCTATGAAATTTTAGGTCAGTACAGAAATTGGATTTCAAACCAGAAAATCTTTACTGACGTACATGACTATGTAACAAAACATAAGCAATTTTTCTTTCTCAGAACTGGATATTCATACTAACATTGGCCCTCAAAAGGACTAACAAAGCTGGAAAAACAATCTATGAGCCCGCATTTACAATCTACCAAACAAAGCTGGTAAGGCATGTTGTTGCAATCTGGCTTTTTCGTTTTCGATAAGGAAATGTAATTTTACCTTCATGGATAGATAATTAATAAACATCAATTTGAAAAAGAGCTATGAAGAGTTAACTATTATTAATTATCTGCTCAAGGTCAAGCCTTTGAATTCATCGTCAAACCAAGTATTATATCCTTCAATCCTTGTAAAGCACAATAGATCCAGTTAAGGGTGAAAGAACTCCATACCTCCTGGCGAAGGAAGACTAGCAGCAGCAGCATACTTATCCTCTTCTTCATAATAACTGTTGAAACCTAATATTTCCTTCATTTCTTCAAAAGATGGCATACGTTCAGAAGGAATTTGACCTCCTTTAATTGCGAGTAGCGCATCCTATAAAAAAAGAACAGGTGACAATTGCATTTAACAAGCACTCAAGATTCAGATGAAATGTAATGTGCAAAACAATATTAAAATTAAAACTAAAATAAGGAGCAACGGTTTTCACCCTCCAAGCTCAAACTACTATTTTAACTGAAGGACCCTGTCTCACGTAGGATTTGGATGATATAACAATTAAAATACATTTCATTGCAGGAGCAGAGGATCCAATTGATCTTTTCTACAATATTATTAAGCTTTCTTTTCAGGCATCTCATGAGTTTAGTTGGGACCAACAAGAGAGAAGGTATACCATACGAGATTGCTTTCTAGATGTTTCTCCATAAATGCCTTTCGACTCCAACCCAAATCTCAATCAAAAGCACAAGGACCATACTTACAATATCCTACGCCAAAGAGAGTCAGCCTCAAGAAAGAATGTCAGTCATTTAGCCAATTGTGCCTCATTATGCTAGCTAAAGTTACCAATATCCAAAACTCTATGGTCCAATGGTCTAGACATGACCTCCCAACTTACCTTGTGAGAAAATCTCACAAATTAGACATCATGTTATCACCTACCTCAAAAATCCATTGATCATTCTCTCTTTCTACCTTGCTCTCATGCTCTTATATTCCATGAAAGAAACTTCATCTAGGTGCTACAAACATTTCAAAACAATCCTTCCGGTCTACTTCATTGACTCCCAAATTCGTAATTGTGACAAATCTGAAATCTACGATAATGGATTGATCCAAACCTTAAAAAGATTACTGTTGTAGTCTAAGAACCATTTCTTCCTTCCATTATTGTCATCCCTCGACAGACCAAAACCTTGAGCATATTCTATGCGGTAATCTTTTTGACAATAAATTAGACAGGGAATTGATGCAGGAAACAAAGAAAGTTTGTTATTTCTTTATACATTGTAAAAATGAGGAACCACCATAAATTTTCTTTCAGCCTACAAAAATAATAGCATTATTGAACAAATGAATTGAGATAATCAAATTTCCCAACTATATCCAACTTGTATGACTTCATAGTGATCAATTCTCTTGTTTATATAGGTGCAGACAGACATGCTACCTGCATCGCTCGCATGGATACGCCCATCAAGGAAAGAGGATAAACAACAACCTTATATCCAATTTCCGCAAGTTCAAGAGGACTGAGAATTGGTGTTTTACCTCCTCCTTCAAGCATATTGGCCTACAAAAATAGAAGAGAAGTATCCGTCAATTTTTTTTTTTTATTTATGCCATAATTACAGAAATTGAAGAAACTAATTACAGATTTCTAATAATGAAATACTTATGCTTGTTTGGGTGGAATATTGCATTGTCTATGAGAAATTCGTGTCAGTCAATAATCTATTGCAACATTTGCCAGAGTTTTGTAAAGCATGAAGTGCTTAAGCGCAAGGCACAGAAAAAGATGGGGGTTTTTTTTTTCTTGTGAAGAGCCCAATATAAAAATGTAAATAAAATTTGACACATGAAGAAAAATAATATTACAAACAATGGGATAACGAAAAGTTTAAGATGTTAGATCTTTTATTAGAGATTGTAGAGGGAAAAATACATATTTTAAGAATACTTCTCAGTTTCCTCCTTAATTTAAAAATAAGATAAAATAAATTTAAAAAAAAATGGGCTTCAGGCACTTTCGCAAGTATCTCAAGTACAATTCACCAAGGATACCTTGCTTCTTTGAAGCCAGATTCCCAAGGGCTTTATGGGAAGCTGATGTTGATGAAGAACAGAAATTGCAGCTTAAACGAAAATTTTATATCAAACTAGTCATGTAATGAACATTTCAACATGGGAATGTTATTCAAATTACTTCACTTTGCATCCTATGGTAAGGAAATTTCGGTCATACCATTTTAGGTACTTCAGGAGAGACTTTGCAGAAAGCCTTCATCTCTTCTACTGAAGCTAGTGCATCAATAAAAAGAATGTCAGCCCCAGCATCAGCAAAGGCCTTTGTCCTCCATAGTGCTTCATCAAGGGACACAGCCTGTCGAGCATCAGTACGAGCAACAATAACTATGTCGTAGCCACTTTCTTTTCGAGCATCAACAGCTGCTCTTATACATGACACCGCTTCCTCTCTAGACACTACTTTTCTACCTCGTGTATGTCCACAAGCCTTTGGTGATACCTGCCATGATAACCTTCTTGTCAATCAATGGGCTTAGATAACTAAGCAAATTCTTCAACAGAAAAATAAGATTTCTTTTTAAATAAATAATGATAATAATAATAAAAAGAATGGACAGGGCAATACATCCAATGATCGGTTACTTTTTGATTAAAGGATACATTGAAAAGAACTAACAGATGGACATAAAATTTTGAAGCTGATTTATGTGACTTTGTTCCAAGATATTTACTTCTTTTCCAATGCAAAGAATGTTACTAAAATAAAATTCTTTCACTGACATAAGGTCCGGTAGAAGAACTGAAATATTATTAAAAAAAACTAAATAATACGTGAGTATGACTTGTAATCTTTGACCCATGGAACAGGTGCACAGGTCTGAGATGAAGATCCAATACCAATTATTATCCTCTCACCATGAGCTGAAAAA